CTGAGAATTAAAAGGCTGTTTGGGTTTCTTTCATGTCTTGTAACAGGAAAAATGTATTTTAGACACACATTCTGGAATTTCAGGCTAGTGAGGAGGATTCCCTGCCCACCTTCAGTCATTTAAATTCGTCAAATATATATATTTCTTTCCTCACATAGATTCTTAATCAAGCATGGCAGCACCATGCAATTCTAGCCCTATGTTGTATGCCTTACTTTTATTTTAAAGCTCAATATTGCCTTAGCAAAAATATTTTAAAACTTACTATAGATAGAAAGGAAAAGTTCTTTTCCGGTTACTAGAAATGAGAAACTCTTGCTGTCTTTCAGAACATTTCTCAAAGGGATATGATTAGCAGTATATACTGATACTGGAGATTGTGGAAGGAAAGAAACAATTTCTTCCACTACCTGAATTTCAATAGTAGCTAAGTGCGATGTTGTATGTACTTCCAAGAGAAGGTTTGACACTGCTGCTTTGGAATTTCACATGTAACACCTTCTGAATTTTGGAAACACAGCTCCTGCACCCACATTCAGTTTTTTACCAATATATTTATCGTCGTAACAAGGTGGAATGTTCCATTTTATGAAAGGGAAGCAATAAGGCAATGTTCTTTGTAGATTTCATATGTTAAAAAAAAATAAATCAAGGCTATTCTATATAATTATAATATGTATTTGTTTCATGATGGACTTTGCTTTCGCCCTGCTTGTCTCCACTTGTGTGAATAGTCACTAGATTAAATACTGCAGTTAATATTTACTCTTGATTATTTTTTTTTACAGATCTCTCTAGATACTCTTCGTTTCATGGTAAAATACATGAAATGTAAAGCTGAATTTTTAGTCTTTCTATTTTAGGCAAAAAGTGTGGAGTTAAAGGTGAGGGAAAGAAAATTCATTTTAAAGTGAGGAGGTGAAGCAAGTAGAAACTTGGCTTTGTATCTGAAATTATATTTTTTTTCAGTAATCTCAGGAAATAAAGTAGAAAAGTGTGAGTTTTATGTTATCCCCAAAGAATTAATTATTTACAAGGGCTGATAATACAGTAGTTGCAGAAGTTGTCACATTTGGATTTCCTGGGGAGGCTGGAGTAAATAGCAAATATTAAGTTGGACACCACCCCAAATCTTGGCCAGACCTGCAAGCCTGCTTTGTTGAGAAGATGATCTGATCCAATTAAATTGTTTTTCATCCTTACTAGCTCCTTCTCAGCCAGAGTTTTATATCAACTCTAGTTATGAAGCACTGATCTGCGTCAGCATATTATCCGTTACTGGTTTATAGATGAATTCTCATTGCAAAACAAAACATTTCTGAAATACTCCCCAGGGATGATAGCATTTCTCCTCTACGAAATTCTGGGATTCATTAGTAGAGAATGGTGTAAATCATATCCTTAAATATTAAATGACCAAAAGACATATTCTTTTTCCAGCACCAGACTTGCTGTTGTCTTTTTAGCTTGACTGATCTTTGAGTTCTTAGAGATAATTTCTCTTACCTCTTGTTCTGGTGTGACTTGAGCATCCCATTCTAAATGTGGATGGACTTTGGTATCTGTAGTATTGCTTTTTTTTTTATGATAAGCAAATTTTAATATCTTTATATCATTTGGAACCTAGAAATGACATTTCATTTATTTAAAATAAAAGTTATTTTCTTTTTAAAAAAAGTAGCATTTTGTAGCAGATTTAAATTTCACAATTTTCTGCCTAAATCCAGTTATATATTGACAAGAGCACAAAGTGCACCAGGCATTCAGACATCAACACAGAGTAACAAAAGGTAAATTGGTTCATTATGGATGCTGGTGTATAAGAGTATATTTGAAGAGTGACGTTGGTTGCTTTGAACAGAGCTCTGGAAGTTAGATCCATTGCCATCTGGAATTGCAGAAGGAAATGTTTCCATGGAAGGGGCTGCTACAGAACTTAAATAGATTTAGTTCTACAAGATGGAGAACAAGTTAATTTATTAATTAGTTAAACTAGGTAGTACTTGAAATTGTGAGTTTGTGTTTTTTTGGTTTTGTTTGTTTGTTTCAGAAAATCAGCAAATCTGTACCTTGGCTCTACAGTTGGTGCTCAACAAGAGCTTATTGGACATAAACATATCTATATCCCTACCTTCCAGTAAGCCATGAGGATTACTATAAAGTTTATTCCATAAGAGGCAGTAATGCAGCACTGAAATGTTATTTTGAATAAATGATATTGTCAGTGTTATATTTGTTTTCCTGCATATCTCAGCTATATTAATTTGTCTGCTCATTTGCTGCTTTGAAATCCTGTATAGAAGCATCAGAGAATGGATGGAGCCCTAGGAATTTGGTGGCCCCTGTAGAAGTAATGATAACTTAGATGTCAGTACCCCTGTTGTCACTATGAACAGTTGTGACTGTGCTGTCTCACAATGCAAACGCCCATTCATGACTTCTGTTCCCTCTCCAAGCACACAGTACTCTCTTTTTCAGTGCTTTCCAAAACCATTGATGTTTCAGTTTTCCGTCAATGGCATCTTGCAATAGAAGCTCCAGCTGTGTTTTGAGGAGCTGCTTTATTTTGCCAGTAAATTGTAGCAGTGGAATTGTGGCAAGGAAGTGCTAAGTGTCAAATAAGTGATTTTAGTGTTTAAGAAGAGAACTATGTTAACCAGAAGAAATGTGGAAGCAGCCATGTGAAGATAGAAATCCACTTCTCCTGGGAAAGGAGAAAGATCTTCTGGTAGTAAGGCTTGAAATTCCTTGCATGGTACTATTGAAATAATTCTTTTTGTCGCAGTCATAATGTTTTTGTACTGCTATCCAGTATATATCCAACTTATTCAGTTATCAACTGAATTTTTTAGTGTTTCTGTAAGTCCTAAATGATCTCAACAGCTGGAAGCATGGGAGAGGACTGCTGGACTAAACTGAAGTAGTGTGAAGAGGGGGATAATGGCCTTATTTTTTTCATATTGCAGTGGGTACAATGGGATAACAGTATAGAAAGTACCATAATCGTAATGGGAATAGTCTAAAAATGCACAAATTGGTGTGGCAGTGGAAGAGAACTCAAACCAAACATTCACTTAAACGCTCTCCTATTTCATTTTGGTTTTTTCCACATCTTTTCTCCAAGTTCGGTTCTACCATTATGGCCATGTAAATCTGCCAGATAATAGTTACGTGGAGAGCCATTAGGGGGCCATATGTATCCAACTTATTTATAGCCTGCAGGATTTTTTTGAAATAAATCTACTTGGAATACCTTAGCTTTGCATATGTAAATACCCTGTGCAAGTATATAATCTTAATTTCTTTCCTTTGTTCACCTTCTAATGATTCCATGTACATTTGAAGGTTCCCATGATTGGATGGTGCATCTTTTTGGGAGGTATTGTGGTACATATCCACTGGCCTTTGTGTCAAATGATGCATGTTTAAGAATATTGATATTCTTGACTATATATTGTAATTAATTTTTCTGTAATCCATGAATTTCATAAATCTGCATATAAGTCAGTTTACGTTGCAATCATTTTTCTTTGGTTTTAACATTCAGTCAGTGAGTACTCAGGGTGAACATTCTCGTGTAACATACCAGAGACCAAGGCTCAGCTTGCTGCTGTCACACAGATGTTGCACTGGGCAGACAAGCCCAAAATACAGTGTTATGGCAAAGATGCTGGAAGCACCGGTATGGATAAGACAAACTAGTGAGCTTGTTATATAGTCTCTTTGTACCTAGTGCTGGTTGGTTTAGAGGTAACTTTTCATATTGTGCTGCATAGGCATACCGTCTGTTTAAACCTGAACAAACTATTTATTGCCTCATTCTGTGCCTCAGTTTTCCCTTTTGAAAAATGGGAGTAAGGCTTCTGTATGTTAAATTAGCATTTCTGAGGTGTGAAAATTGCAAAGAGAAAGGCCATTTAAGCATGGAGAGAACATTTACATTTAATGTCCATATGATGTGACACAGGTGTTAAATTCATTTACAAGAAATCTGGCAGAAGAGCAAGACATTGCTGAATCTTTGAACTACCTATGCTATGCCTTAGTAGGTAAGTTCATGAAAGGAAAAATGTTAATTATTCATAGTGCTTTGCTGTACCATAAAACTGGATTTATTGAGACTATAATTTGTTCAAGTTGCATGTAGTAGGAAAATATATCAGGAGTAATTAATTGTATTCAGGATGTGATGAGGTAGATATATCCACAGAGGACAATTGAAAACAGTAGCAGTGTGGTATTGATTGCCTTTCAGAGGGAAAAAAAATCTTGTCCCATTTCTAAATGTTAACAATTCAGAAAGAAAAATTCCCACTTGGGAAGAATGCTTTCCAGGTTGCTTCATTGCCAGGTGTTTGACATTGAGTGGAGCCTTAGATGAATGAAGCTTATGGCAGCTTTTGGAAATGACCGACTCCAGGGAATCTCAGCTTCCTGCTGTGAAAGTTTCTATTTTCAAAGCACATCGGTTTCAGTGGGAATGTTCCAGTGGTCCCATATGCTACTTCTGACAGAGGGGGAAGTTTTTAACCTGAATATGAGACAGCTACTGAAGAGGTTCCCTTGCTGCTAACAAAATGAATTTCAATATGTTGCCAATGAACAAGCGGCATGTTCCCAACTGCTGGTGGAATTTAACTCCATCAATTATTAATGGAAATTTTGCTTTGTTTTCCTTTTTGCCTGTTCCCTTTTAACTCGGCTACCTGCTCCTGATAGGACTTTGTGTGTTCTGAAGCTGAAAAGGGAATCACCCAAACAATATGATCGTTTGCTTTGAAACTCTTGCTATATTTTCCTCCCCTCCCTCATACGCTCTCTCCTTGACCTAGCAGCAGGAAGCCTTTGTCTGAGGTGTTCATCTGGAACAACTTTTCCACACTTGTTTTCATGTTCTGTTAGATTACAGGGCAGCAGGCCTACCTTTGAAGCTCCCTTCTCTTTTGTTTCTTTGCAGTGCACTCCAGTAATTAACTTTGTCCTTCTTTTATTTGTTCCAGTCAATCGCAGTCCACTCTGCTGAGCATCTTCTCCCAGGAGTACCAGGTTAGAAGTTTTCTCCTTTGTGAGGGTTGACAGGTGCCTAATTGAATGATGAATGTCCCTTTATTTCTTTGTAATTGAACTGCCAGCTTTCTGATTGGTTTGGAGGATGTTCCCTTTTCCACATCAAGCACCGCCTGAGTCTCAGTGGATGGCTGCCAAGCCTACCCATCCATCTGTCTAATAACATCTAGCCTTTGCTTATTTGGTGGACCTGTAATAAATTATGCTAAACCATTATTATTCTGACAATAATAATTTCCCTGTGTTGCGTGGTTCCATGTGCTAAATGTTTGCTGACTTGCACTGTCAGTGCTGCTTTCCATTGCTGACAGAGATGATGATAAATGACCATTGCCGGAGTGGCAGAAGGCAAGAGAGGCAGAAAATGGAGTCATTTATCATGAGATGACAGGTGTCAGTCAAGTGGCAAGTCTCTATGGAATTACTTTTTGTAGTTTTTCAAATAAGTTGTTTTTAAGCAATGTTCTTCCTGGTTAAAAATGCCAATTGAATTGTAAAACTAGAGTGCACCAGACTTAGATGGAATTGAATTGAGGGAAAATTAATACAAAGGTTGAAAGAGAGAACAAGTTTTTCTTTGCCCTCTGTAGCCTTCAGTAAACTTATTTAGATTCAATTATTGTGACCTTACTGGCTTTTACATATATGGTACATTGCAGTACAGTCTGAAGACGTTCAATTCAATAGGTAGATTGAATGTCATTTCTGTACAGAATCTAAAAACATAGTTCAGTTTATATATCAAAGTGTAGCCAAGGAACATGTGTTTGGGTTAGTCATGATTTCTGTGTTTTGATCTATGACACATTTGTAAGACTCTTTGTTTGTTTTTTTGTTTTTCTAGAAACAAATCAAAAGAACACATGCCAAACATCACACTGCTGAAGCTATTGAAACTTACTACCAAAGGTATGACCTCCCCACCCTGCTTAAGAAGATAATCAAAACTACTAATTGTTATGGCAATTATGAGTAAATTAGCTTATTAGCTTATGAAGCTAATTTTCTATAAAAATAAACTAAAAATTTGGGATGAGGAATACAGAATGGTTCACTTAAAAATATTTTTCAGTGAAAATGCAGAAATTTTTCAGCTTTTGTTCAGTCTCATTAGAAAAGGGTTTTCTTCCTTGGCTCTAAGTCAGGATAAGCGAATATTTTTACAGTGTATGTGATAGCATTTTATATTGCCTATAGTTTGTAATTACAGGATTTCTGTGTCAAGACTAACATTGATGATAACTTCCTTACAGCAAGGGAGCTTGTTCTGTTACAGTTGCTTGTACTTTTAAAACAACATTTGTGTTACATTACAAAAAGTTACATATTAAATTCATGTATTGCCAGTTAAAGCACTAATTTTTAGATCGCTCCTGTTTTATCATCAGAAGTGTCAGAAGTAGCTGTTAAGGGAGGATGAAAACCTTTATGTCATTTTACAGTATTTTACAATTGTTTGCATCTTAAGCTAATAAATTGTATTTGCTACACCTTATAGTTTGTCTGTTACTTCACCAGGCTTTACTAAAAGTGTTGCAATGACATAATTGGGGCATACTGATAACTAGTAAAGATATGCAATTAAAATATTACTTTGTAGACTGACATATCTGAGGAGCTTGCCTGGCAAGTGAGTTCATACTTGTGATTATAGATGTCTGATATTTATGCATAATATTAATCTATATGAATCAGGAAAATAAACAAAAAGCCTTCATTTGTAAACAATTAACTGTGCTTCTGCAGCGTCATATATTTAAAACCTATGCGCAGCCTGATTATATCAGACACTGGTTTAGTATCTCTAGTGTGAATTGTGCTGTTTTGGGGGGTTGATTTTCCTTTTTTTGTAGTTGTATTGTTCTGTAAAAAGTTGTGCTGGATCACATTGCACTTCTCCTAGTGTTGATTCTTGTTTAGGAAGGATATTGGCTTAAAGTTTTGTTGTGTTAATAACCATGTGTATGCAATACTATTTTTAATTACTTTTCACTCGCACAGTTTCAGTGAAGTGCCCTGTGTTAATTTTGACTATTGTGTAAATAATCCTTTTCTTAGAACATATGTAAATCATTTAAAACACTTTTATGATGTGTTACTAGTTCCAACAACTTAAACCTGAAACATGGGACCAAATTCTGCTTTATGCAAAGTAGTAGTTCTATTGGTGTCAGTAAGGCTGTAGGTATGATTAAGTTTGGCTCACATCAGGTAGGAGGATTTGGTCTCCTGTCCCCTCCTGTACTGTCTGAAGTATGATAGCAGTACATAACTAATGCATTATGTATGAAGCTATATGGTGGTGGTAGGGAAAATCATTCTTTATGCTATTTCTAGGTATTTCATATTGCAAATGTATTAACATGGCCAAATAAAATGCACATGTTTTAACATCAGAGATGTTCTAGTTAATAGTTAGAAAACTCATCTCAATCCTGTTTTAGCAGATTTACTGTGTAGTATGTTTCATAAGCTAGAGGGGCAGATGACTTGAGTCAGAAGCCAGTCTGAAATGCTTCAAGCATAAACATGACAAACATGTCTTCTCCTCTGCTCTTTTGTAGCATCTATCTTACTGCTGCAAACCCCAGCCTGTGTGGTATGCTCCTTCCCATTCCCACTGACATACCAGCAGATAATTGTGCTCCCATTGCTTTCCTACATCAGAAACTACCAATTTTTGAAGGTAGTCATTTCTAGTGGTCCCTGTTGGGAGCAAATAGAAGTACAGTTGAGTGGAGTAGTTTCTGCTGCTCTGCTGAGATTTACTAGTCTTAAATTTAGGCAAACACAAAGGCAAATTACAAGAAGGATCAGCAAGCTTTTCAGAACAGTATTGCCATCAGCACGTGGGACCTGTGTGTACGTAATGGAATTGCCAGTAGCATTAGAAATAACCTGACAGAAAATTACTCCATTGTCAGCTGTAGCTTTGCTGTTCGGTCAACTAGATGCATGTTTTAGAACATTAATCTCATGTAAGTCTTCCTGGTTGGGTATTTTGTTTATCATCTCTCCTTTTTGATGTCTGTTATAAATTTTCAATGTTTAAATATACCCGAGGCATCTTGGTTTGTGTTTGTTTGTTTTTTTATGTAGAATTCAAATAGGTTACAGCAAAAAGCTTTTAGCTTTTATCATTTCCTTTACTCATTGAGCCTCAGAATAACTTGCAAGCAAAAAGCCCTCTTATTCTCTGTGAAGAGGTTTGTGTAAAGGTGTTACACCCATTCTACAGAAAGGTAAAATGACAAAGAGTTTTAACGTCTGTAACTGATAAGCAGAAGAGTGGCCTCTGATGGATAGATAATAATAGAGCTGAAAAGGTTGTGGCCTTCTAATGATGTCAGTAATGATGTGCTATACGAATACAGAGAGGATAAATGAGCAGGTTCAAATGTGGGTAACTATTGTTCTTTTCCACATGGCTACAAAGCACAAAGTGGCTTCCAATAATATAGCTTATTCCCATCGACTCCTAAGAACAGGTTTTAGGCATTATTGAAATGTAAACATCAAACAGTGAAAGTAACAGAAGTGAGGAAGGCAGTATTGTGTCAGGCGATGGTCAGAGACATCAGTGTGTATCCATAGCGGTTTAATACCCTTAACCGGAAACATTAAGCCTTTGCCATTGATAGGATAATGACTTTTTATCACCCTTTATTGGATCCTAAGTATTTCTTCTTTTATTTTGTCATCAGAATATTAATTTAGTTGTTAGACTCTAATTTCACTAACATAAGCCTTTAGTATCTAAACTGCTGCCCAGGTGATAAAATTTGGATTAAATTTGAGAATGTATGGTTTTGTCCATAGTAGTGAATTGAATAAGATGAAAATACATCTTCATAGTTGAAAGTCATGTGGAAACCAAAATCTTCGCTGTGAATAATTGAGGTTTATTTGTATGTGATGCATCTTTAAGTAGTACAGATATAACTTTATCTGTATGTCATTAAACCAAAATTTTTTTCATGTCTTGATTTATTGTGGTTTTAACTAGTGACTTAACTGAAATTGATATATCTTGCAGATGAATATGAGACAACCCTGGAGAGTTAGTGATTGTTTAAAATACTTGTGTCTTAAAAGATTTCCCATTAAATACTCTGTACTGGGTTACTTTGCCCAAATGAAAGAGATTCACAAGGGTTACTAACATGTAAGCTGGCCTTTTCTTGTCACTACAGAATTACCTGGCTTTGTCTTGTCTAGGTACCTGAATGGGGTGATGAAAAATGCAGCTGCCCCTGTATTACTGGAGCTGGCCAATGAGGTAATCATCTTTACTTTTTCTTTAATCTTCCACTGTAAAACCTAAGGGGCATATCTATAGTGACTTTAGTGAGAAATGTAATTAACCTAAAAAAAATGGTTTCAAGGCACATTAGACATTTAAAATGGTTCCCCAGTCTGTTAGTACTTACAATAATTAGACAAAAAGCCCCATTTATTAATAAATCAGTTAATGTAATTAGTCTCCTAACTTCAAGGCAAATGTATAAGAAACTCTGAATTTGTATTTTGCTGGAAATTTCAGACGGACCTTAAGTCTTTAATGCACAAATTTAGTAAAAATTCCCACATTAATTAAATGGAGTTGCATCAATTTTACTTATATTTGATTCCTTGTTCGTAATAACAAAACCCATCTAAGATTTTTTTTTTTAAATAATAAGAAGGGTTAAAACAGTTCATTTTCCAGACTCTGTTTATTTCTGCTCATACAGGTTAGAGAATGGCTAATGAAAACTGCTTAATATAAAGCAATTAAGAAGAATAAATTCCTCAGTATAGCCATTTCCTAGAAAAGCTGGTGTATGAAAAGTTCAGTACAGTTGCCATTAAAGTCTTGACAAATTTATTGATGCTGTTTATTAACTATAATATGAATCTGCCTTGGGATGCAAGGTGTTACTTGCATTAAAAA